AGAGACATACCGATTTTAGAAAATTCAACATTAGCCACTTTTGCCGACGACACTTCAATACTCATCAGGAATCAAAACGCATCTAAAGCATCTGAACAAACTCAAAGATATTTAAATATTTTACAAAAATGGTTGGAAAAATGGAAAATTAATGTTAATGAAGATAAATGTGTACATGTAACGTTTACTTTACGTCATAATACATGCCCCACAGTCTACCTAAACAGTCCCAAAATCAGATGTGGTAAAGTACTTGGGTATGCATTTAGATAAGAAATTAACATGGAGACATCATATTAATAAAACAAAGAATCAAATTAAACAGAAAATGGAAGAACTATATTGGCTAATAAACCAAAACTCTGCAGAGAACAAATTACTATTGTATAAGTGTGTAATGAAACCAATTTGGATGTATGGCGTAGAGTTATGGGGCACTGCTTCAAAATCAAATATTGCAATAAAATATTGCAAGAATGCAAAATAAAATTCTAAGATCAATTTTAAACGCACCATGGTATGTGACGAACTTTATTTTAAAATCGAAATGAAACTGAAAATGTTAACAGTCCGGCAAACTTAATCCATAGAAATAAATTAGAGACCCACACAAACCCAATAGTTGCAGACATCTTACTACCGCATGACAATAGAAGACTGAAAAGGATATGGCCATTCGATTTTATGTAAACTAAGTAAGATATATCACTGGATTATCTTATATAATATCATACTTATTTAAATGTACAGTTTAGCTCATAGAAATTATTTTTGTATTTCTGATTGTTAAAATAAAGTGAAAAAAAAATTACCTAAAGTTTAAATCTTAGATAACCGTTAGATATTTTATTATTTAGTTGTTTCTAATTAATTAGTAACAAAAATTTGATTTGATTATTTTTAACTATATTTTGTCATAATTGAAAAATTTAATAATCGCTATTGAAATATAATTTAATCAGTTTATTAAATATCTAAAACACTTGGTAAAAATTGAATCAAAATGTTCGCGCCAGAATCTCGTTAGATATCGCCAGACGACATTTGTCAGAATCAGACAATATTTTAGTCTCTGGCAATCCCTAAAGAAAAAGATTTTGGATGTAAACGCTAATCATGCGGGGTCTTGCGCTGGCTTGTCACGTAAGCCGTTTTACTTGTGTTTTCCACAGTAGTTTTGTGGTATATTTCCGAGTATTGAATATTATTTTATTAAATAAATACATTATTAATCGCAGCCAGTGTTACTTATTTGTGTTCTTGAAGTTAATTTCTTCCTCAGCATCCAATTTCAAGGTATCTGAGAAATCCGAACTTCAAGCCGCCATCCGACTGGGCCGCCGACCAAGCAGAGAACAACAAGTATTTTTCAATTATACAAAATCCTCGGAATAGCTGTTGATATTAGCTGACAATAGGCTATTCCGAAAAGGTCTAACCAACCCCATCCGTAACATTGGTCCTTCGACGCCTCATCCCAATTTTGATTAGAATTTATTGAATATATTAAGGAAATAAAATCCAAGATGGCACCTAAATTTGACGTGGGTGCAGAGATTGACCGATTGACAGCTAAAAGCGAAATGTATTATTCAATAATGCAAGAAACCTATGACATTTATCAACAAATTACCAATACTTCAAGTAAGTTAAATTTCTTGAAAATTTATACTTTATTGAGAATGCACGAGAACAATGCATAAAATTAAGCGACGAAATTAACAAATGAAGGCATTTAGAGGATCCGAGTTTTGTACCTGAGTATGCCGACATAAAGGCCTTGGAAACTTTGTACGCAAAGATCAAGCATGTAGAAACAATGTTAGATAATCAGAATATTAGTAATTTGTCAATACCGGACAGTGTTCCAAAACATCATTTACCATCCATAGAAGTTCCCAAATTTTCCGGCCATATACAACCTTGGCCTTTATTTTATGAAACATTTAAAGCATTAATTCATAAAAATACAAGATTAGATAACGTATCCAAATTTCATTTTTTAAAAAGGTGCGTTAGAAGGTTCGGTATTAAACATTTTTCATTCCATACTACCAACTGCAAATAATTATTCTATTTTATAGGAAGCACTATTAAAAAAATACCAGAATAAATGATATTTAGCCACCACTTACTTCAAACAGCTCTTCGTTTAAAACCATTACATCTTCACAAATAGATATATTTCTACAGCAATTCGATGCAGCTGTCCAAGCCCTTTGACAATTAAACATTCAAGATTCATTTGACTTTATGATAACATCTATGAAATTCTCAAAACTCGATCCCGTTTTGCAAGAGAAATTTGAATATTCTTATCAAGGAGAATTTCCTAAATACCAAGATCTCCTCCAATTTCTCCATAAGTCGCAACAAGCAAAAAATCAAATTTATGGTATGACAAGTAGAACTAACAATTACACATATGATACGCAAAAGGATAAAAATTCTTAGGATATATGTGAGGAACAGCATCATACATTGTTGCATACTGATGAGAATCTTGCAAATACGAATCAGAGTAATCCGTCGAATTCGAAATCTAATAATACAGTTTTATGCGTTTTCAACAACAACAAACTGGCACATAATGTAACCATATTGCCAACTGCGGTAACCAAAGTTTTCACAGAAAATGAAAATATTTTTTTACGTGCGATAATTGATTCAGCAAGTGATAGGCATTTTGTCACATTAACTTGGTGCTTAAAAGCTTATTCACAAATTAAACCAGTTTCAGTCAAAGTGATTGGATTAGGTAATGCACCACAAAACGTGATAGGATTGGTCAACTTCACTTTAAAATCCTCAATCAATTGCCAGCATGTGCATATGTTGTGCACGAAATTGTGAGAAAACAACCACAAACCACGATTCCAGTTTCATCAATTCAATCATTCTTGAAGTACCTCTTAGCGGATCCGATTGGGTTATATAATTATGGGTTCGATATCAACTTTACTTCAACCTTCAAGTACTTTTATGAAATATTATTAAAACTAAGTACTTCCATGCAATATTATTAAAAATGCATGACGTCCTTTCTTATATACTATGTCTCCATATAACGCTTCACTTTCGATCAAAATGCAGCCTTTGGTGTTTCCAGAACTACCCGAACACTTGATCCGACCTAAGAATTGGTTATGTTTTGTGGGATTATTGAGAACGAATTTATTTATACTTTGTCTTCTCGAAGTATTAATATTTTCTGTAAGAAACAAAGAAAAAAAAAACACTCTTCATTCCTTTCGTCTTTTATTAAATTCAGAAGAGTTTGAACGTCATTTCAATAAATTATTTGTTTCTCGTAATATTGGATAAAGACTCAAAGGTTGATGCCTTGTTGAGCTCAGTGTTGTTCCTCAGCTCCTTGCACCTTGATTGGCTTTGTCCGATTTGCCTGCTCCATTGGATGCAAGGAAGAGTAGAAGTTTCCTAGGTGTGATCGATAGTGGTGAATTTTATGAAGTCTTCGAGTCTTTAGTATCCAAGTTCTTGGTAGGGGGAGATTTTAATAGCAAACACACTTTTAATAGCATTGGGGATCCAGGCTAATAAATCCCAAAGGAAGACAAATGTTTATTGTTATTCAGCAACAAAATTATTTGTGATCCCAGAAAACAGCCTGATTTATTGTTTTTTTTTATAACTAACGATATAAACCCATCTTACGCAGAAGTACATTCTAGTTATGATCTTTCTTCCAAACATTCGCCAATAATAGCCAGTATCAGATACACTTTTTCTAATTTCTCTCGCAATCCAAGATTTTGCAATAAAAAGACAAACTGGGAAATATTTCGTACTAGAGTTGTTAACAATATAAATCGTCAAACAAGGCTGAAAACCGAGACAGAAATCGAAACTGCAATCGAATTACTCAATAAAATTATTCTTGAATCATCGTCTCATTCAGGTATATCCTTGAAGATTAAGAAGTTAATTGCCAATAAAAGGAAGTTCAGGCAAAAATGGAAAAACAGACACACACCCTTAGACAGAAATATTTTTAATAATTTAAACAATAAGCTCAAAACTAAGCTTAAATAATTAAATTATATTGGCTTCGTCAACTACGTGTCTTTCCTCAATCGCTTCGATAATTCTATTCAGCGTCCCATTAAGTCTAGAAATAAGCCGTGCATCAGAAATCCACCTATACGGAATGAAACAGCCGGTTGCTGGGCAAGAGATAACAAGGAAAAAGCAGAACTTTTTGCTAAGTATCTTAGTTCAGTTTTTCAACCGCATGCAGCTGAATCTAATATATATATAACTTGTATCCACAGTCTCACTCACCACATAATTCTGTCAACTTCAAGAAAAAAAATTACTCTCTGAAGAAGATTGTTTTAGTAATTGCTAAACTGAATAGTACAAAATCTCCTGGGATTGACAATATTTCATCCAAAATGTTAAAAGAATCACCAATTAAAGCGTATATTTTCATAACTTACATATTTAATTCAATGCTGAGATTGAAATACTGGCCTAAGTTTTTTAAAATATCCGTTATTGAAATGATACCGAAAAACGGAAAAGATACAAGTATGGTTACGTCCTACGGACCAATTAATCTTTTACCCATTCTGTCGAAGGTTTTTGAGAAACTATTGCTTGAAGATATAGTATCCGAATGTAATATATTACCTTGTCATCAATTTGGATTTCGCAATCAGCATTCTACGATCCAACAGTGCTACAGAATTGTGAATTCAACTCACAAAACTTTCGAATCCAAAAAATATTGCTAAGCAGTGTTTCTCAATGTAAGCCAGGCTTTCGATAAAGTATGGCATGAAGGCCTTTTAACAAAAATTTAATGGTTGCTGCCGCCTTGCTTTCATAAAATTTTGGAATCGTACTTAACTAACAGATGATATAAAGATAGAAATAATTGTAAATCTTCAACACTTTTACCCATAAAATCGAGTGTTCCGCAAGGGAGCGCTTTAGGTCCTTTTTTGTACCTCACATATTCAAGTGATTTTCCAACCATGACGAGCTCTACGACTGCTACTTTTGTTGACGATATTGCGATTTTGGCTAGCAATGAAAATCCTACTCTTGCTTCTAATATCATACAAAATCATCTCAATGAAATAGAAACCTGGACAAAGAAATGGCGCATCAAAATTAATGACACAAAGTCAACTCATTTTACCTTCACGCTTAATAAGCTAACTTGTCAAACTGTGTACATAAATGAAAGACAAAAAATACCAATCTTTCGTTCGTCAGCTACCGAGCAGGTAAGACCTCCCGGTAAATATTGTCAAGTGTACAAGTTGAATAGTTTATGTGAAATTACGCAATGCTTATTATCTAGTTCTAGTGAATTCAGAAAAACATACACTAACATCAGTGCAGTGTTTTAAAAAGTCATAACAAATGTTACTCGTAAGGGTATACATTTTGTACAATCGTACAGTTTATAAATATATTAGAACCAACAGAAAATTATAATATAACAGAACTTCAATGTTCACTACCACTAGTAGAAACGAACGAAGTACTTTATTATACTTCACACACCAATAGTGAATTTGTTCAACGACATCTCGAAAGAATAAAACATAATACGCAATCAACAGAACCTGCACACAAATGAAAACAATATGAAACTAGACTCTGACCCCTCAACTCTGAGGCAGACACACAAACCGTTCGTTATCAAATGCAATAAACAACCTTTGAACTCTGCTGAATCTTCGAGGCAGGTACCAAAATTTATTGTTAAACATAAAAAGTAAAATAAAAACATTGAAAATAATGCGGAATTAGTCAGTGAACCTTCTACTTCGGGACTGATTTCTAAATCGTCCACTGTAAATAACAACAAACAAAATATGAATCATATTGAAAACAATTTGGAATTAGATACCAAATCGTTAGCTGCTTGTCAGGTAGCCAATCCGTCCGCTTAAATGCAGTTCACAAAATCTTGACAGCAATCAAGAATGGAAAGTTGCTATGAATAAAAAACGACACCAAAGTGAATCATTATCTAATAATGACACTGCAAAGAAAGTGACCTCCAAGGATTATTGGATCAATCCGACTCCCACAAAAAATTATAGTAAAGTTTTAGCAAAAAATACCGCCTTACCGTCAGAAACTCGAAAGAAAAAAAAACACAATCCAGCAGGCCTCCTCCAATATTTATCCATAAAGTAGGAGTTATCAAACCGCTAGTGCAATTCGAAGACGAAGCCCAGAAACAATATAGCCTAAAACTGATCAGTTCTTCTCATTCTCAGGTAAAAATCAATCTGGAAAATAGCAAATCTTTACAAAATTCTAAAGGTACTAAAGGAGAAAGATACACAACTACACTCATTCCAAGAAAAAAGCAAACGAACGATCAAAATTGTGGTAAAAAATCTACGTTACAGCACGGACACCAAATTGCTTAAAGACAAAATTGAAGAGTTAGGTCACAAAATAGTTCATATCGCAAACATAAAAAGCATAATTTCAAAATATCCTTCGAATATGCCTACAGTTGAATTAGAAAAAAATCCGAAAAATAAAGACTTTTATTAAATCGATTACTTATACAGAACTAAAGTGCAAATCGAATCTAAGACGTTTTCAATATACACGCTGTCAAAGGTACGGCCACACAAGAAATTACTGTCTCCGCACCCCAAGACGCGTGAAATGTGCTCAAGATCATTGTACAAAATCGTGTAAATAGGAAAAAAGGTCGATCAAGTCAAATGTGCCCTTTGTGGAGAGGATAACCCCGCCAAATACAAAGGCTGTAGCATCTATAGAGAACATTTCCAAAGAAAATATCCTCCTTTACGACAAAAATCCACCACGATTCCAAACTCTACTTCAAATCATATCCTAAGACCAGGATTAACTTTCGCATTGCCAGAAACAGTGCAACACTACCCGAAGACGCAACGAACACAATCAACAACAACATCGGCTACAGTAATAACACTGATAACAATACAAATAATATAACAAACGACCTTACCGAACTAAAAAATATGGCAAAATTATTGACAGAACAAATGTGCACAATGCTTAATTTACACACGACTATTTTAAAAAATAACAAATAATAATGTCTATACAACTAAAAATTTGCTTATGGAATTCGAACGGCTTGAGCAATCATGTCCAAGAACTTAAATATTTTCTATCGAACAATAACATAGATATTATGTTAATTACAGAAAATCAGTTTTCAAAATCTTTCGAAAGCCTTGGAAATATGTTCATTGCTGGCGGAGATTTTAATGCTAAACACACATTCTGGGGTTCGAGATTGATCACCCCGAGAGGCCGACAATTATATAATGCGGTTAGTAATAATGACCTCAGAGCATTTTCAACGGGTAAGCCCACTTACTGGCCAGGTGATTTAAACAAAATTCCAGATCTTATTGATTTTTTCAATCCTTCTATACTCGACTCAAACACCGGCCAAAATTTCAAGTTCTATCACAAATAAATTCACATATTGGAACCTTTTCTAAAAAGAGGTAGAAAGCAATATAACTTGTAATATTCGTCTGAAAAGCGAAACTGATTTGAATAATGGACTAAAAAACTTTACAAATATAATTCTTGAAGCAGTCAAGACATCAACTCCACAAATGGATCATTCAAACAACCACTCCCTGCCAATTGACATTAAAAAAACTATAGCACATAAAAGAACACTACTAAAAATTTGGCAAATCTGGTAATTTGCCAATCACCCGAAGACAAACAAAAATTCAACGGAGCGTGCAAGGATCTCAAAGTATTAATAATAAATTATAAAAATGATTCTTTTAAAAATTATCTGCATAATCTTTCAGGATGCAGTGATACAAATTATTCTCTCTGGAGAGCGACCAAAAAACTAAAACGACCCACTATACCTATTCACCATTAAGAAAATCAGATGGTTCTTGAGCAAGAAGTCCTAAAAAAAAACTGATGAATTTGCCGAACGTTTACGCCTCACTTTTCAGCCCTACCCGAGTACATGCGATCCAAATGAAACTACGTTTATCTACGAATTTCTACAGAACACGCCGTTGACTGTAACCCAGCCTGTTTAACGATTCACAGTAAATAAAGTAAAGCAACAAATCCTGAAAGCCAATGCAAAAAAATCTCCAGGACTAGATAAAATTTCTATCACCTTGTTGAAAAAATGACCCGATCAAGCTATTAGAATGATTACAATAATTTTCAACTCAATACTGAGGCTAAAAACTTTTCCCCAGGTATGGAAAATAGCAAAAATCATTTTAATTACTAAACCAGGAAAGTACCCTCATCTCCTTTCATCTTACAGGCCGATCAGTTTGCTGCTCTGCATTTCAAAACTTTTTGAAAAACTGATCCTTTGGCGAATCAAAGTTATCCTGCAGGATCAAGATTTAATTCAAAGCCACCAATTCGGGTTCCGCGACAAACATTCTACTATAGAGCTAGTCCATAGGATTGTAAATATCCCGCAGCTTTCTAAGATCTCATGAAGGCATTTGACAAAGTCTGGCACACAGGCCTAATGTACAAATTGTGAAGATGTCTTTCAGATACTTTATTACAACTGATAAAATCCTATCTACAAAATAGAATTTTTTTGTCAGTATAGCTAATACAAACTCAAATATCACTAATATATATTCTGGGGTGCCTTAATTTATACAGCAGATTTTCCTATCTCTACGGACGCAAGTGTAACCACATTTGCTAATGATACGTGTATTATGCCGTAAACAAATTCTATTGACAGCATCGTGCAATCTTCAGCAACATCTCAACAAAGCTGAAAAATGGTTTTCACTGTAGCAAATACAGGTCAACAGCTCAAGATCGGTCCATGTAACATTCACACTACGCAATCAAATATGCCCTGAGGTTGAACTTCAATACAATGATTCCTTCCAAGGAGTCGGTGAAATACCTTGGCATCCACCTGGACAGGAAATTAAATTGGAAAATACATATAATTAATAAAAAACAGCAATTAGATTAAATCTTTAAAAAAATTGACTGGCTACTAAATAAAAATTCTGAACTCTCAGTTTACAATAAACTGTTAATATACAAATATTAAACGCTCCTCGCTACACCCCCTTCATGAATCATCCATCAAGACACAGGCTTGCTCACAATAAAGGAACAAATTTCAGTGGTTGCTTCTAAACACAAAAATAGGATTGACGTACATCTCGATGAATTGGCCAGCAGCTTTTACCTGGATGGTCAGCCCACCAGATTGAAAAGAAAGTTGCCACAAGACCTTATATATAGTTATATTTGAATATTTGTTGTTTTTTGTTTGCCTTTCTTTTTTTTTTTTCTTTTTTATTAATATGTATTATATATACCTAGTAGACACGCCGCTGGGTGTTGCTACTATCTTCTGGTTTATATTGTAAGATATTTATTGTTAGCAATCTCAGCTTAATGTTAATGCTCATGTAAAACAGATTGCAGAATAAATTAAATAAAAAAATACCAATCAGAGACACAGCTAAGTACTTGAGTATTCACACGGATCGCAGATTAACCAGGAAGCCGCATACCGCGGCCAAAATAAAACAAATTATACTTACAATTTCAAAATTAAATTGGCTTACTGGTCGAAAATCAAAATTATCATTAGATAATAATCTTCTAATTTATAAGACGTATGGAATCCAACTGTGTTGATGTTGTAGTGATTCAAATGTGGGACTTGTTCAACGATTACAATCTAAAACACTAAGGACGATTACTGATGCCCCTGTTAGCAACAAAATCATACATGATGACCTCAACAGCTCTTTTGTAGTGGATGTCATCAAGAATACCAATACTAGACATCATACTAAAATTCACGATCATCCTAAAGCAACTTTGGCTCATCTGCTTGATAATCCACCTATGTGAAGACTACGCAAGAAACAGCCTATAGACTTAATGTAAAAATTGTTTTCCATAGTCAATTGCTTATTGGAGCAATTACTACAATTTGTTATTTTCATTTTTTATTTATTTATTTTCAATCCATTTTTATTAATTTATTTATTATTATTATTATTATTTTTATTTTTTTGTTTATTTCTGTGATTATTTTTATTATTTTTATGTATAATTTAGCCATATAACTCACAGAGTATGTAAAAAACTCTGATTGTTATATAATATGAATGAATAATAAAAACTGTTTTAAATGTTTCTTTTACATTTCTACATTTAAATGAATTTTTGGATAGGAGAAGAAAAATGTACAGCTTTCTAATGATGCTAATTTATAAGCAGTCGAAAGTGCCGTACTGGTAGGAAATGGAAAATGAAAAATTATTTTCACCTTTTCATGCACTAACAAATAATCTTTTCACATTATTTGTTATGAACAAAGACAAGATCAGTGTAAATAGAATGACATTAACATTTTTTTGATATCTTTTATATTTCCAGCAAAAAGTAAAATTGAAAAGGGTGCCACTTTTACATGTTTTCATTAATATCTCGGCCAAATGATGAGATAGGAAGTTGAAAATTGGTATATTGTATTTTTTCGAAAAGACCTATAAAATGGTATCAAAATCATTTAAACACCAGGGTGAGGCCGATTCTGTATGTAAACACGTCCTAATCCTTTGTTTAAATTTAATTTTATTCTTCACAAATGTGTTTTTAATGAAAAACTAATACAATGAAATGTTATTACGTCAAAATTAGCAACATTATGCAAGAACATTGCAAAATTTGTTTTTGTTTCGTGCAAAATAATAAAATTGTAATTATGTAACGTGCTTTAAATCTATATCGTGTTGTAAACAATATCCGAGTCCAAGTATATATTGTCTATAAACTAATTTTTAATTAAATTATATATATATATATATATATATATATATATATATATATATATAAACTAGTTTGGTGCGTTTTCAGGTTTCTAGAATAAATTTTGTTTATAATTATTGGTATTTACATACGCAACAATCAACAAATAACAAATAGCGCAAAAATAATTCTATAAATAACTAATTTTTTATGCATATTGATGAAAGAACAAGCAATTATTATAACAGTGATAAAAAATAACATTTCTTTGGTAAAGAAATTAAAATTGTTAAGGAAACAAAGTGCTAATTCCTTTTCTTGTCAGCTTGATATCAAGCCGTAGAAATTTAAATTTTTGCTTAAAATTCAATTTTGTACAAATTGCATAAAAGTTTTTTCACTTATATTAAATGGTTTTAAAGATTTGTGGAAATAATTTAATGTTTTTGTGTAGGTAGAAATATAAAAGAGTTTATTGGACCTATAGTGTAAAAGGGGCTTTTGCAAGACGTTATTGAAGTCTTGATATAATTATTTTATCAGTGAGGAAAAATAACAATTCATTGGTAATGAAATTAAATTTTTTTCTAATTTTATTCACCTTAATTAATAAAAAAAATTCACTTCTGTCAGCTTGATATCAAGCTGTAAGCTTATTAGTTTTTACTTAAAACTAATTAAATTAAATTTGCTTAAAACTCATTTATTAATGCATATAATTTCTGACAAAAATAAGTTGTATTCTGCCTTCCCTGTCAGCTTGATATTAAGCAGTAAGAATATTATAAATTAGTTTTTGTACAAGGCGCACACAAACTTTGTTTTATGAAATTAAACGTTTTTGTGTAGGTAGAAAAAGAAAAAAAAACTAAATTGGATCCATAAAGGGCAAAAAGGGGATTCTGCACAATGACACATTGATTGAAAATTAAAGGTCTGGTTATGGAAAAACATATGATAAATATATCTGTTAGAAAAAATAAAATTTGTTTGGTAATGAAATTAAACATTTTTCTAATTTTATTTACCTTAAGCAATGAGAAAAAAAAGTTCTATTTTTTCTTATCTGACAGCTTGATATCAAGCGACAATAATATTATAAATTAATTTTTGTACAAGTTATATAAAAGTTTTATCTACTTATAAGA